TCCCCCCCCCCCCCCATAGATGATGCAAACCAATATCCCTGGAGTCTTTGCAGCTGGTGATGCTGTCACATTCCCACTGGCCTTGAGGAATAATAAGAAGGTGAACGTCCCTCACTGGCAGATGGCCCATATGCATGGTAGGTGCTTTTCAGTCCCTTTCCTTTGCAACAGCAAATTGCTTACTGAAAAGAGCATTTTCCAGATCCCCAGGAAATTTCCAAGCCCTCTAGCAAGAGAATGAGACAACTGCCAACAGGGAAACTGGGTGGTTGTATTAAACATTTTGAAGCATGTATATTTTATCCTGTCCGATATGCCTTCGTTTGTCAGCCTTCTTGACGTACATTGCCTAACAATGCCTCATTACAAACACAAAGGTGCCCAGGAACAGGCTTTCCCATATGCTGTGTGCTCCCTGGCATCTGCCATTGCTGCAGGAGCCTGATCTTCTCCCTGTCCTGGGACACTTAGGAGCTCACATCCTAATGTTAGCTCGGGCTTACATGCCCAGCTGGGCTGCCCATGCCGCCGGGCTGGCCCAGGAGCATGCTGCAGAGCTGAGACCTTTCTCCCCTTCACACCAGCAAGCCTGGAAACCCTGGCGTGATCGTCTGCCCTTGAGCTTTCCAAGGCCACAGCCCCGTGGGGAGGTTGACCTCTGGGTGGGTGCCCTGGGTGAGAGGTTTTGGAAACACACCTCCAAAGTTAGCTTTTGGGGGAGCCTTTGGACACAGCCCCTTTTAATCCTGGTCCAGACATGCCTGTGTGTCAGGGACGGTACCCTAACAGTCTCCATGCCCTCAGGGGATTTATCCATCCCATCCTCCTTTGCAGTGGGAGCTCAGCAAGCTCTCAGCCCTGTCACTGTTGCAAAAGTTGGGTTGAAACAGGCTCATGAGCATGTCGCTCATGCCAGCGGAGGCGATGAGTCAGTAGGAGCTGCACCGCCAGGGAGGAGTCTGAGCCCAGCCTTGGACGATGCAATGCGTTTCCTTGTTGGTGCTTATTGCTGTATGGTTTTTTTTTTAGCCTGAGCAGAAGGTCTTGGTTTCCCTGTACTCTGAGACTAGAGATGTCGATGCTGTGCTGCAACCTGAGGGCAGACCACAACACTTGCCCCAGCACGGTGCTTCCTCAGTTACTCTGCTGCTTCTCTCTTCCAGGCCGCATAGCCGCGCTGAACATGCTGGCCCACGGTATGGAGATCAGCACAGTCCCATATTTGTGGACTGCTATGTTCGGGAAGAGCATCCGATATGCAGGTAAGGGGCTCCCCAAGGCTGCTGTAGAGTTTGTGCTGGTGGAGGTGTCCTGGGATAGAGAAGCCAAAGCCACCTCCCTTGCTATGGACCCTCCGCGCCAACCTCTGCCTCGGGTCTGCTTCCCTCCTGGCTCCTGAGGGTTTTGGTATCTCCTCCGAAACCTGTCTGCTCATGGCCGTGGGGTGCAGGGCCAGAGGGATGGCTGTTGTCATGAGGGATGGCCCAGCATGAACAGACAGTCTCCCTGAACTTGCACTTCTCTGAACAAAAAGGGGTGCTTTTTGGTACCCTCATCTTCTGGTGCTGATCTCTTGGTGACTGCAGCATGCTCTTCATGTAGCTCTGGATTGAAACACTCTTGTCTTAGGGGCTAGAGCTGAATCCAGGGGAATTGTTGCTGAATCCACTTCTTCTTCTCTGCCTTCCAGGCCATGGGGAAGGATTCGATGATGTTGTCATTCAGGGAGATTTAGATGAACTGAAGTTTGTGGCATTTTATACCAAGTAAGTATTTCTCTTCTCCACATTCCTACACAGGTATTTGTCTAAGTTTGTTCTGCTAGGCTGGAAAATATTTTTTCCAGAGCTTCTGTCAGTCAGTTTTGTTCCTCTCTGGACACTGAGGTTGCAGGACATTAATAAAAGGCCCTAGAGAAACGATGTGCTAAGTGTAAAGGAAGTTAAACTGGTCTTTGGACCTAATGTCTCTGCCAGATGTAAGCACTTCATCTGTTCACATAATATCTGAGAGCAGATAATGGCTTCTATTAATTTGTTGTTGGCAATTCCCATCAAAGATTTCCTTCCCATCTCATCACTGTGTTAATGATTTGTGACCAGGGCTGGACAGGGAGCTCAGGCATCACCGTTTCTGCTTCTGGTTTGACAAATTAAGCTCAAAAAACTCTTCTGTCTATTTATAAGCTGTGAAGGTTAGCAAGAGTTCAGGAGCTTTTGTTACACCTGTAGTGAATCTCAACTCTCACCCAGGCTGGGAGCCTATCTGGGAATATTGTCCTGAGATGTGATGACAGCCGGGATGTGTTGCCTCTGCTGTTCTTGAGCCGTGATGGCTATTTAGACTGGCAAGACCGTGCACCGTGAATTTATCCCCAAAATATTTGCTGCTGTTTATTCTTTTGTTGCCTTTGTCCTGTCCTAATCTGAAATCAGTGGCCACAGAGCCTCCTCATGCCTGGAGACTGAGGGGGTTTCTTCAAGTGCTTTCTAATATTAAGGATGGAGAGAGTGAAACCAGGGAAGCAAAGGTCTGCCCGGCTCAGGAATCAAACTACTCGGCAGCAGCATTCAGGCAGGGATCTGCTCTGCAAAAATCATCTTACCAGGGCTTGCTGCCTCTCTGTCCCCTGCCCAATGTCCCTCACAGCCTCCCCTCCACGTCCCCCTCCCTGAGGGTGGTCACTTGCCCCCATTGCTGCAGGATGGAGCCTGGTAGTTGGATGTGTCCATCAGGCTTGGAGAGGCACAGGGCTCATTTTACCACCCCGTGGCACTAGCCAGCCGCGTCCCTGGCACTCACCTTCCTTCTCCTGGTGCCTGTGCACCTCGGATAAAAACCTGCTGCAGGCGATAGGGCTCCAGCATCTGCCGGCACCCAGGGGCCCTTTGCACGTGGATGCACCTCTGAACTGGCTGGCACCTTGGCCAAAATTGCCTAAAAGGGTGGGTTTGTGCCAAGGCACCACATGTGCTGGGGACAGCTGCTGCAAGGGGACATTCCCCTTCTACAGCCACAGCCACGGGGCTGTCCCTCACCACCCTCTTGATGTTTTGAAGTGCATTTAAATCATGTAACTGCCAAAGCAGCATTTTAAAATACACAGTTTGCTCAGTGAGTGTGAGCCAGCGGAAGATAAACCCCCATTTTTGGCAGTTTTGCTCCAGTAGTTTGCAGATCTGCATGTACTTTGCCGCTGCATCCCCTGTGAAGCAGCTCTGCAGCCATTGTGTTGCCCTGTCTCAGGTCCCCTGGCCTTGCTGGCAGTCCCCTGTGTGCGGCAAATGCACCATTACGGGGCCGGGCATCCACGAGCTGCCCTGGCGCACATTTCTTTCCAAGATATAATCTTCTTTGAAACCTCTATTCTTCCTTTCCATACCAGAGCATTTAGCTATTTATCCCAACCTTAGTTAGAAAGGAAATGTCTGATTGCTTTAATTAAGCATCTGTAGAGCCTGTTCAAAAGGAAAGCCCCGAGCAAGGTGGATAATCCCTGCTCTGTGCAGCAGCCCCACGCTCAGCATGCTGCCGGTGGTTGCCGGGGGGTGAGGGCTGCCTTGGCAGACCTGCCAGCATGCAGGAAAGCTGGACTCGGTGGGCAGCAGCTCCCCGGTGGGCAGGTGGCGGGGGTCCACCGCTAAGTGCTGTGTTGTTCTGCCACCCAGGAGGGGCTCCCGGAGATGGTCTTTGGGTACCAGGACGGCATCCCATGCTGAGAGCCGGAGGTACTGGGGGAGCACCGGCTGGGGGGGGGCCGGCTGGTGCATCTCCCACTGCTTTGCTCGACTGTAATCAATTCCCCATCTCTGCTTCTGTGAGAGGCCACTGGGAGCATTTCTTCCTCTTTTTCTCATTTGGTGATAGTTATTCTGGTTGGTGCTAAGCTTTTGGACTGAAGACACTGTCCCAAATCCCCTTCTGCTTCCTTCTGCCATGTCCACCCAATGGTTTGGACTCTTCTCCTGGTGTGCACTGTCTTGGTTCTTGCATGAACATGGGTGGTTCCCACTCCCAGAGCCTGTTCTCAGCATCAGCTTTCACAATAAGGCTCTTTTTTCGCCAGAGTTTGAAGAATGATGATGTTTGCTTTTCCCCGTTCAGAGCTGTGTGAGCTGTGGAGGGGTCAGCGTGAGGCCCTGTGCCAGGAGGTGTACGGGACAGTGCTCTGCAGATGTCCCTATGGGACACTGCGTTCACTGCAGCACCTCAGCCAGAACAGACCAATGTCATCCCAGCTCTAAGACCTTGGAGATCTTGGGAGACCCAGGGAATTGCTGTGGTTGTCTTCTTCATGGTTCCCCACTTCTGTTGCATTGAACCCTGCAGAGGAAGGGAAGACCATGTAGACACGGTGCTTATCCACAGTGCTGCATCTTCCCTCAGCCTTTATGCCAAGACTTCTGATTGCTCCAAATCCCAGGTTCAGGAAGGGCACTCTTATTGCCTCTAAAGACCTTTTGAAAAAGAGGGATTCCTCCTGGCTTCCCCATCTGTCAGACAAAATGTTTAAAAGCCACTGCTGATGTGGGATGCTCCAGCTCACTAGCACCCCATGAGTTATTTTGCAAAAGGACCAGCTGCCCCATGTCTTGCTGATGGAAATGTTTGGGCTGCATCCGCCTTCGCAGCTGGTCATGTCGGGCACTGGCTGGGCTTGAGGCTGAGTTGGTGGGCGGCTGGTGGGAGTACGTCTTCCTTTTCTTTCCTTTGCACACCTTGGTTATTCATTCCCTTGGAATAGCACATCTCCCCCTGGTTTTGCTGGGTAGGTGTCTCCAACCACTTTGTGTTTCCCAGCTGGGAGCTGGCTGTGCTGAGGAAACCAAATGTAGAGGAAACCACTGAAGCTTCAAGACCGTCTGGTGTGGTGTGAAGGTGGTGCAGAACCTTCCAGGAGTCCTGAAGCCTCAGCTCCCTTTGTGTGCTGAGCACCGGAGGCATCAAGCAATGGTGAAGTAGCCAAGGCTGAGGCCCTGTGTGATGGAAACAACCATCTGTAGGATCTCCCCAGGCTGTGGTTCATGGTGGGACGGTGTTCTCATTGGCAGTTGGTGTTTCTGAACTTGGGGCAACAGGAGAAGAGGGAATCTACACTGCAATGCCATCAGGTACTGCTGCAAGCATCTTGGAAAGAGACTGGCTGTCTTCTGTAAAGAAAACTCATGAGTCCCTGCACATATAATTGGAGTTACATCCCTAGGGGATGGGGTCCTGTCCTGGGGAGAGCGGACCTCGTTTACATCAGGCAGGACAGCAAGCATCACAGCAGAGAAGATGCAGGCTCAGAAATTGAAGAGCTCTTTTAAATGGCAGCAGCAGCCCTCGAATGTGACAGCCCAGCAGGAAGTTCAGCTGAACACACATGTGCTTTGTAATCTTCTTGGATGGTTAATTATCCTCACTGCCAGCCACAGATGCCTGTTTTCTGGTGTGAATGTATTGCTCATCAATGTCTGTCTGTTACTCTTGTTCTCACCTTGTCTGCTGGATGGAAGAGTCGCAGGTTACCAGAAATCCTCTCTGCTGTAGGTACACATCTCTGCAGTGATCTAAGGATGGGATTTCCAATAGCATCCAAGTCTTGTTCTAGAGCTCCTGGCAATGCAGGAGCTCCCCCTTCCCACAACCATTCCTGTGGAGCAGCACCCTGTGCTGGAGCCTGGCTGGTGTCAGTCTATCTCTACGTCTGGCTGGTGTGGACGAAGTAAGCTGTGGACAAGCTTCAGTGGCTCTAACTAAGCTGTGTACAAGCTCCAGTGGCTCCAGAGAAGATTCTGGTTTCCTGATCTGCTCTGCACACCTGTGCTCACCCATGGGATGGAGAAGCCAGACCGCTGCTGTTTCCAACTTGCTCTCCTTTATTTGTAGTGAGCTTATTTAGGAATCAGAGCCTTTTGAAACATATAGTCTTCTGTGATGGAGCTACCCCGTGACTTTGTGGGACAGCTTTGAGAGGTGACTTCAGCTCCCATGGCTCCACAGAGATGAAGTGTCCTCTGAAACACGGCTTCTGCTCTCCTCCTCCTGGGAATCAGGCACATGTTGCCCCTGCCCCAGCTGCTCTTTGCTCTGTTGGTCACAGAGCTCTTTGGCAGCAGATTGAAGAGCAGATCTTGATTTGTTGGGAGCTTCTACTCTTCAACTTACTCAACAATATCACCAGTGTTTTATATCTTGCCCACACACCTTGTCTGATCTTTACATTGTTCGTCTATTCAGTTATCTCTTTATGAGTCATCTCCTGGGTTCAGTCTTTGAAGATTTACTCTCAGGTTGACTTCTGCAAACCTCAAAGCAGAAGAGCCCTTCTTGTTTGCCTTGTGACCTTTAGTCAAAGCTCCTCCAGCATTTTTATATCCTCTTCCCTTCCGCTTCATTTCCTGTTCAGCCTTTGAGGTTGCATTGTGCCACCAGCATTGACATCCTGGTGGGTGATGGTCAGCTGCACTGGGACGTGCTTCTGGACATGCCATATACAGAGGGGTTTTGTCACTGGGGCTGGTGGGACTCTGGCATTGGACACTCCAGCTGTCCCGGTGCTTTGGGAGGAGCATGCCTGTGGAGCAGCTTGGAGGTGGGCACTCTGTCCACTTGGAGGTGGCGATCAGAGGAAGGGGATGTGGAGTAGCACAACCAAGTGTCCCGCAGGGAAATCCTGACCACCAGCTTCTCCACTCTCTCAGTACATGGCAGCAGCGCGGGGATCACCTGCCTGGATGGCAGCAACCACTGTGCATCTTTGCTGATATCCAGGTTTTTATCCACCATCAGATCCACCTTTGCTGGTGTTTTCCCACAGATGCCAGGGTGCCCAGTGCTGTCTCTGTCCCCTGGGCACCCTAGTGATGCTCACCACACCAGCATGTGAGCATCAGTGAGATGACAGTAGGGCCAGCCTGCAGTGCCAGCTCTGAGCCCTCTCCTGTCCCTTGTCCCACACCGCTGCACAGTCCCCATGGTGCCCACACCTTGAGGGGGGTCCTGACCCTGGAGCGGGTGTTTCTCTTTGCTTCCTGCTTCTCTCCAGCATGTTGGTTTTTGGGTGATGGAGCCATGGCCACCCAGGGCTGCCCTAACCGCTCTGCTCTGCCCGGCCCTAGGAGCGATGAGGTGGTGGCTGTGGCCAGCATGAACTACGACCCTATCGTGTCCAAGGTGGCTGAGGTCCTGGCTGCCGGCAGGACCATCCGAAAGCGCGATGTCGAGTAAGTAGACGTGCTGCAGGAACTGGCAGTGCCAGGGCAGGGGCTGAGCACAACTGTGGGGGGCAGGGCAGGGCTGAGCACCCCAAGGCAGGACCCCGACAGGCACTGGCAGCTCTTTCCCACTGCTGCCCACTCCGTACCCTTCTTGCATTTCCCTTCCTGCTCTGCTCACTCTGTCCTCCCAATACTGCCTTCCAGCTGCCTCCAGGTCTGGCATCCCACGCACATGGGGTTTGTCTTAAACACCAGGATCCAAATCCTTTCACAGACCCAATGGGACAGTAGTGCTCACTGCCACCAGGCGCTGGCACATCACCGAGGCAGCACTGCCTGATGCTGGGGTGCCCCTGGGCACCCAGTCACTCGAGGGGACCCGCAGAGAGGGGCTGGGTGTGCTGCCCGTGCACAACCCTCTGCAAGAGCAAAGCCCGGAGAGCTCATGGTGCCAGGACACCGGCCCTTGGTGTCTCAGCCTCCAGTTCATTGGGACATAGCTCATAGGCAAAGTGCATTTTCCTCCCTTCACCTTGTTTTTAAGACTTTGCACAGGAAAGAGT